AGGATACAAAAACAACTGTCTCTGGGATACAAATCACTTCCTGGTGCTGATGATGTCATAGAAGAAGTTTGGAATGCTCAAAGCTCCCATTCACATGTGAGGTATTCTCTCCATCCTCCTAGTGGATTCTGGCCAGTCTAAGATTTGTGGTAGATTGAGCTTTTGGACTACAGGCGCATTTAGAGCTAGCCTTCTGGCCTGTCCCGGGCCAGAGGAAGTTCCTGGAATTAATTTCCCAAGAATTGACTTACCTCTAAGAACACTACTGCTTTCATTAGCCAGGTATAGGCCCTGAACTGCCTTGTAGGCCTGTGTAGTACCAGAAGCTGCCAAAGTCTTCCTCCAGCATCAGGTAAATGTTGGGTTGGATCCCTTTTCTCATGAGAGTGACAAAGAACCATAGGATCCTAGATTTAGAACTGGAAGGGGCTTAGAGGCTTCTAGGCCCATCCTCTTACTTTACAGATGAAGCAGTAAACCCCCAGAGAAGCTAAGTGATTTGCCCAGTCACATAGGTAGTAAGTATGCCCCTGTACTTAGGGGGCCCCCAAAGACAAAACCAGGAGCAACAGGTAGAGTTGCAAGAAGATAAATTTAGGCTTGATATCAAGAAAAATTTCCTAACAATTAGAGTGTAATGGGTTCCCTGAAGAAATAGTACATTCTCCAAGTAGAGTTAGGAACACTATCCTGGGGATTCCTTTGCAGATGTGGACTGGTCTAGATGGCCTCTGGAGTGCTTTCCATTTCCAAAGTTCTCTGATTCTGGACTTCGAAGATACCTTTCAGCTCCAAGTCGCTGATCCCAGGATGCCTTTCCATCATCAAAATGTACCTACCAGATAAAGGAATCTGCTATTCTGTGTGAATGTGCATTTTCTTTTCTAGGAAACGTGTTTTAACAGATTCCTTAACCCCAAGAAACAATTTCTATAGGTAGAGTTTAAGTTCCCCCAGACCTATCAGGGAATCTGGGAGTCACCGTCTATTCTTGTCAAGCCCAGAAAAAAGCTAGAACGAAAGAAGACTCATACCTGCTGGATGTCTTCGAGGCCTATACTTAAATTCACTTTGTCTGTCTTTTAAGTAATAAGTAAAGAATTTGATTGAGCAGAGTCACATAGTCTGATTTCAGACCTCTTGCTGAGAACCCTAAATCCTCATGGTTAAAAATTTTTTAAAGCTAAAACAAAAGCCACATATTTCATTTCCCCACACCCTGAAAGTATTGGAATGGACGGAGCTTTTCTTTTTTGCCTAAAAAAGTGGCTATTTGCTGGGGTAGGAGCTTCAGGGGAGAGAATGTGCAGTTTTTTTTTTTTTTAACTTTTCCATCTGACATCAGAGAGAAAGAGTAGAGACCAGGTAGTCTGGTGTTGTTGGGCCCCAGGCCTATAGAGTCAGTGCCCAGGGAAGCTCTCACTAAAAGGAACCCCTCAGCTGACTTAGGATCTCAGCTGTAGAAAAGGCAGGGGATCATTTGATGCTGAAATAATCAAGCATAATTTTGACACCATACCTTGTTATATCAACTCCAGGAGAGGCTCTCACTTATTTGAATTTTCTATATTGATGAGAAACAAGTAACAAAACATATAATCTGAAGGACATGTGTACATATGGGGTGGGAGGTGGGGAGGGTGGACAGGAAGGAGAAGATGGAGGCAGCTTTACCTCCATTGCCTTATGATGGAGATAAGTGTGTTACAGTTGATTTCCTCATATCACCAACCTCCACCCTTCTCTCACAAGTCACAACCCAGCCATCAGATTACAACAAGATGGTGAGTACATCCAGTTTTTTTTTGTTCTCTGGAGATGGCCCCCTATACAGACTCCCCGAGTTGTAAAGTACTTCAAAGGCCATCCAGAAAAACCCATACGTGACTAAGAATCACCCCAATATACCTAAGAAAGAGCCATTCAACCTTTGCTTACCTTTAAGGATTTCTTCTACTTTCCAACAGCTCTAATGTTTGCTTGAGACTGGAAATTGTACTACACAGATGACCCCCAAAAGAATGACTTGCAGGGAGAAGATGCCAGGGTCTGATATTGAGTAGGAGACAGGACCAGGGAATGTGTTTATCTTACCTCCTTTTCTCTTCATCTCCATGCCTCAATTCCCTGCCCTGTTTCTGGAGTCCATGTATTCCCAGTCAAGCTTTTGGAGTATAATGTGGGGATGAAGCTTAGAGCAGAGTTGGGATGGAGAGAAACAGTGTAGGCAGCTAGATGGTACAGCAAATAGAACTCTGGGCCTGGAGTCAGAAAGCCCTGAGTTCCAATCCAGCCTTAGACACTTACTAGTTTGACAGAAGTGACTTGTCCAGAGTCAGACAGCTATTAAGTGTATGAGTACAAATTTGAACTCAGGTCTTCCTGATTCCGGGCCCTGAGTTCTATCCACTGCACTGCAAGAGAGTAGACACCCTTTTTTAGCCACCCCTGGAGTGTTAACACTCTTTTCCATAGGAGACAAATGAAAAAAGTGTCTGTCTGTTCCGCATTTCAGGAGGTGAATAGCAATCAATCAACAAGCATTTATTAAGTACCTACCAAGGTCCCTGAGTTAAGTGAGGTCCCTACTTATACCATGGCTTATATAATGCCAGGGGAGACAATATATAAATATAGAAGTATGTGTTAATAAAAAAATTACCAAGGTAATTGGGGAGAGGGAGAAGCAAAGGCTTCATATAGAAAGTAGTTCTTGAGCAGAGCTTTGAAGGAAATTAGGGACTATGTGTGTCAGAGGTGGGTAGAGAATACATTCCAGGTATGGGGACAGCCTAAGCAAAGGTATAGAGACGGGAGACTAAATGTCCCAGTATGGCTGGAACCAGAGTGGGTGGAAGAGTAAATTTTAATAGGTTGGCTGAAACCAGTTCCTCCTCCACCCCTAGTAGAGGACTCTGTACATAGCACACATTTAATAAATGTTGCGTGAGGATAAAGATCTGTTGTACGACAATAAAGTATTCTCATACTAGCCTGGAGGCTGTTCTTACCTTACCCTTCCTTGGTGGAAGGGACTAGGTGGGGGGAAGGTTTGAACTTGGACTCATAGGACGAGCCTTGAATCTTGACTCTTCTACTTACTGTGTGACTCTGCCCAGGACCTCAGTAAAAAAGAGGAGATTTGATTAAAATATACCTCTAACTTCCTTTTCAGTTCTAGGGCTGTCATCCTCTGGTTATGTTTCTACTAAAAAGTGGGAAAACATACTGTAAGAAATGAGGCTGCCCACCTCAGCAAATAAGAACGTAAGTTTTTTGAAGGCAGGGACTAAATGGTTCACTTCTGACTTCATAGCCCTAGGGCAAATTAGATGTTTTGGGAAAGAGAACAGGCATTTGTTAAGCACCCCCTAGGTGCCAGGCACTTTACAAATGTTATCTTATTTGATTCTCACCACAACTCAGGGTGGTGGGTGCTATTATTATCCCCATTTTACAGATGAGAAAACTAAAGTAGACAAGAGAGTTCAAGTGATTTGCTAGTAAGTGTGTGAAGCCAGGTTTTCCTCCCCTACCTGCCTCTGTGTAATTAATGGTTGTTCATTGCTTACTCTTTGACTTTGGCATCTTCTTTCTGGCCTTCACCCGCTACCCTTGAAGCCCCTTTTCCTGTGAGTGAGTTCTTCTGAGGACTTCCATTTTAAGGAAGGGTATGGACCAGATATTATTCACACTCAGAATTGCCTCACTCTCAACCAGTACAGCTCAACACCTTATCCTACCCTCTTTCTACCCCCACTCTTTTTTTCACTTCTCTTTCCTGTGTTCTCTTCTCCCATTGGAATGTAAGCTCCTTGGGCTAAAGGCTGCCTTTTCAGGGAAGCTTGTATCTGTATCTCCTGGGCTTAGCACATAACAAGTGTTTAATAAATTATTTTCAACTTGATTAATAGGAAAAAACTATTACCCCATCATGAAAATGAGAATGTAATCTTCTAAAAGGCAGAAACTCTTTCACTTTTTTCTTTTGTGTCCCAAATAACTAAAACAGACTAAGGGTTTTAATGAATGGCTGTTGATTGATGACTTGATTCACACTTTAGCCCATTAACTGGCCCTACCTCCCCCTCAGCTTTTTTTGTTGTTGTTGTTGAGGATTTAAGAATAAAGACTAGTTCCAAGAAGTCAAATCCTCCAAATGAACAATAATAGAATTCAAATCCTCTCCTTAATCTTATACCAAGATCTATCCATCCATTATTTCTTCCTTCCTTTCTGTCATCCATCTATCCATCCATCCATCTCTCTATCTATCTATTATTCCAGGCCTATTTCTGGCCCAGCAATCCACTAACTACATGAAGCAATGCTGAGTATGGGGCTTCCACCTGCCTAAGCACCTGAGCATTGATTGGGGTAAACATTCTTTGTTTTAAAAGGATTTATCAAGGGATTTTTAATTGGCTTGCCGTTTCTATCCGACTCTTCCCGCCCTTTGTTTTTAAATTGGCCTATAAATGCCTATCCCCACAAAGATTAAGCCCTGAAAAGAGGCTGGTAGCCACAGTGTTTTCCCCATACCTTCTTTAGAAGGAACTTTCAGGGGCCCGGGGAGAGCCTCCGGGTGGCCACAAAGCGCCCAGAGCCACTAGAATTGTGGGTGGCCTGGACTCAGATTCGCAGCTCCTTTGGTCGGGCTTTACGCATGGAATGAGAAGGGTCCCTGGTGTCCGAGAACTAAGAGGGTGAGAGCAGGTGGGCATTTTTCACCCGGCTGCCAGCCCGCTCTGCTGAGCTCTGCCCTGCTCTGCTCTGCTCTGCCCTGCCCTGCCTGGGAAGCGTGACTGGAATCACTGCGCAGACGGCAGGTAGGCTGTGGCCCGGTGGGTTGGCCAGGTGCGGGATTGGAATGTGGAGTGTGCGCTGACAGCAGCAGGAGTTGCTGGAGCAGCCGTATCTTTGCGCAACACCTTCCTCTATATATACCCGGGGCTCGGGAATACCTGGTGGAGTCATTCCTTTAGTTCTTTAGCCCGGGAGGAAAAAAAGGACTGGTGAGTACAGGCAACTCTGAAACTAGGACAGAGATTCTTATTTTAAAATCACTCAAAAGTTTGTTTCCACTCCTCTTTTTCTCCAGACAGCTCTGGCTCGTAAAAAGCTACTGAGGGCGGAAGATGTATTGGCCATCCTTGTAGCATTTCTGGGAAGTACTAACGAAGGTTTTGTTTTGTTTTGTTTTGTTTTGTTTTGTTTTGTTTGAAGTCCAAACTCTTTATCATTAGATTTCTGCTTTTTATTTATCTTTAGGTCTTGAGATTGAAGAAGTAGGGACTCTGAGACCCAAATGATGCTTCTGTCAGCTGTCCATTAGACAGACTGTGCTCACAGCACAGTGCCTACAAGGATTTCAAAGTGTTACCTGCTGGAAAAGGAGCCTGAAAGTGCTTGTGCGGAAGGGTGGCTGGCTGCCTGCTACCCTGGAAGGAAGGTTTTCTCTGAGTTAAAGAGTGGAGGGTGAGATAGCTGTCACTTTTCAGCGGCTACAGGACAATGATGTGGCCAAGTAGTCAGGCTTGTGGGGATGCAGTTTTTGTAGGGGAATATACATATTTTAAGTGTTGATCCACTTAGATGTCAGAAGAGTGCAACATCTTCTGGGACTTTATCCTAGTATCAAGAGGTGAGGACAGTAGGCTAATTTATGATGGCACAGAGAAAGTAATCCAAAAGTTTAAGGCAGTGTTGATGTCAAGGATGGCCAGAGGGAATTGGAAGTTAGGAGTAGGAAGAGGGCTGGCTTTGGAAGCATAGCACCTGCTCCTTCCCGTTTGGGAGACATTGGGACTGCACATGGAACAGCCTCAGTTCTCTCATCTGTAAAATGATAATATTGGACTAGGTGATCTTTAAGGTTCCTTTCTTTAGATCCTATGGTTTCTTTGCTTAACACTACTGCTGGACTGGAGATCTGGGATCAAATTCTGGATACCAGTCTTGGTTAAGTGACCTCTCCCCTGTCTGAGCCTTAGCTTCCTCCTCTGTAAAATGGGGATAATATTGTGGTGAAAATATTTTGCAAACTCTGTAAGTTCTACAGAGATCATAAACTTAAGAGCTGGAAGGGCTTTGAGAGGCCAGCATCTAGTCCAAACCTTTCACTTTACAGATGTGGAAACTGCCAGAGAGGTTCTGGTAATCTGCCACACAGGTAATGTAGAGTCTGGATTTGAACTCAGTTTGGGTGGTTCCTTAGCCAGTGTTCTTTCTGCTGTTGAAGTGACTTTACCTGCTTGTATCCCATCTGCCATTTAAATTTTTAAAAAATCATTTCTGCTCCCTGATATTTTGCAGGCTGATCTAGTTAGTGGCATATTGGGTTAGCTGTGTATATGTTCATTGCCTAATGCCCTCCAGCACTTCTTCTCTCTTCCCTCCTTCCCCTTCCCCCATTGTTTAGTCAGTAGGAAAGTAGAGGTGGCCAGGAACCACCATACTATTGTTTTAGATCTATAGATTGCCAACTGTGCTCTTGATAAAGATCTTTTTGTTTATTAACAGTATTTGGGGCAAGTAAGGTGTGTGCTGCCATGTTGTTTGAGAATCTCAAATAATTGAATTTTCCTTTGTTCTCATACCTCATTGTAATTTGTGCTTGGTAGTGTTAGTCTGAGTCAGTTATTGCTGTTAAAAAGCCAATATTACTCCATTCATTCAATTTAATAAAGGAAGGGGGCCTGTAGCTCTGAATCTCTGGTAGATTGCTGGGATTTGGAATAAAGTGGGAGCTATGTAGCTTTCTTCTGCCATGCTCAGTAGAAATAAAAACATCAACAAAATCAGATGAAATTGGAAACCTTTGAACTACATTTTTGGAAGGAAGACCTAAAAAATCTATTGTACTTGTGTTGTAGTGAAAAGTCTTGGTGGTTTTTCTATTTCATCCCCATCTTTCCTCTCTGATGACTGTGCTATCATAAGCCTCCATTTCTATGACTTGGCTCTTTCTGTTTTGATAGTCACATGTTGCTTTTTCTCCTGGATGGAGCAGTGCTGGTCAGTGCTGGTCAGACAAGAGTTATGGAACTACTCTTTGGTGTTTTACAGGGTAGAATTGGAGACTTAGTCTTTCTCTATTTTGTAATAAAAAAGCAATAAGAATCCACATCAAATCATATGTGTAAAATGCTATAAATGTTAACAATTATTGTCTGTTTGCCTTTACTCATGACCTAGCTAGGGTAAAGATTCACCTCCCTCTTTTACAAATGTGAAAACTGACTCAGAAGTAAAGAGACTTGCTTAGGGCCACATGGCTAGCCAGTAAGGGTTGGAACTGGAGCCTAGGTCTTTTAACAATTGTGCAGAATAATTTTCAGCAGGAAAACAACAAAAATAGTTCTCCTTTCCTGGCAGACCTTTTCCTTGGAACTGCAAACCAGTTCTGGGTTAGAAGTGGAAAGGACCTCAGAGGTCAAGTCTAACCCCCTCAATTTACAGCTGACAAACCTGAGACCCAGGGATGTTAAGTGATTCTCCCAAGATGAGACAGATGATCAGCCTCAGTGGTAGGATTTGAATTAGGGTCTCCTGTCTCTAGAAGTTGTGTTCCTTCCATTGTACCACAACTGCTTCCTCTCTCCTTTCCTTCTTGTCCTCTATTCGCTGCCTAGTGGGAGAAATTGGAAGTTATAGAGGGAATGGGCTAAGGAAAAGTGGGGGTTACTCCCTACCTGACTTGGGACTGACTTGGCCATTTAAGAAATGAAGGCAGGTCTGTGCCTTGAGGAAGGTAAGGGAGACAAGAGTATGAGAAATCCTGGGGGAGGGGCACACTTCAGGAGAATCGGGATTTATTAAAGGGTAGATCTCATGTAATTGAAAATACTGAGCAGTGTTACCCTACCCTTCTGACACTTTTGGACTATGCCAAAGAACCTAGTCCAGATCATTTAGCATCCCGTCCCCAGTTTAGACAATTTGATGCGTCTGAGATTAATCAGCCATCATTTATCAAAGACCCACCTACTAAATAGGAGGCAGTTAGGTAGCTCAATGGATAAAGCATTGGGCCTGGAATCAGGAAGACCTGAGTTCAAATTCAGCCTCAGACACTTGCCAGCTGAGTGACTCTAGGCAAGTCACTTAACCTCTATCTGCCTTAATCTGTTGGAGAAAGAAATGGCAAAACACTAGCATCTTTCCCAAGAAAAGCCCATGGACAATATTGGCAGTGCTATGTGTGGTTCATGGGGTCACAGAGTGTTGGACGTGGCTGACTGAACAACAACAATGCAATCTCTGAAGAGTTTACAAGCAAAGTTCCTAGTTTGCCTTAATTAAACAAATGGTTGGAAATGGGACAGCACATGCTGTTACCTTTTTCCTAGGATTTCAAGCAATCTAAGTGAATTGGCCATAGTGACGTGTGTCACTAACACCAAAACAGTTCCCCCCTCTCTTCCCAGCCACACCTTGGCTCCATCTTTGAAATCTTAGCTCTTCCTGAAGGAAAGACAATTCTGCCCTTGAAGCACTCTTGCAGACCTTAAGAGAGTCCCTCATCCCTGTATCCCTTACACTCACCCTCTTGCTGTTTGATGGCAACCCTAAGCAGCCTGGGCTACCCTTAGACTAGCTCAGCAGCCCCTAGATAACTGGGAGTTTATTTTAGTTTTACCTGTCTTTATCTATTCTTGTTTTACCTGGGACAAATGGAGGATAAATGTAGTAACTGGAGCTTCCAAAGTGGTTGGATTCTACAAAAGCCTGTTGGATTGGGTAAATGGGTCTCTGTATGTCTACCTGGAAAAGGGTGTTGATTGGTTAGGTGCCAACATCCTTCATTTACCTTTTGTTCTGAAGCTGCCAGGTGCCCTACTTTATCACCCAGCTCTCTCATCCACAGGAGCTTCTTTGGCTCTGGGGGTGGAGAGGGCCAGAAAAAGTGGAAGGGAGTGGCTCACAAACAACTGAAGCAAATGTTTGCTAGGTAGGTTATCCTGCTCTTCTGGCTTCTGGCCTCATGAGTATGAAATGGCCAGGCCCCATTGGTACTGAAGCTTGCCTAAAACTCAACTTACTTAGCAATGCTTGGGATTCCTGCCTCGGTGGATTGGGGTTTCTCTGGAACTACTTCAAGTAAATGCTAAAATGTTGCTGAAATAAACTCCAGTGGGCTTTTCCTTCTGAACATTTGAAAAGCATCTTGGAATCCTAGAAGAGGAGCGTGACCTTGAATTTCAGCTCTTTTTGCCAATTGCTCCATTTAAGCCACTGACCAACTTCATGAGTGAAAAAGCCCATAAGGTGAAATCTCTTGCAAAGCTAAACTTACTCTGGCCTTATTTTCAAGGCGAAGAAGGGTGAAGTAGGTTAAATGTTGTTTCTCACTACATGGATAACCAAGTGGGAAGGAAAGTGAAATCTCCCCAGTGACCTTCTACCACTTACTGATAGAAAGGGGTCGAAAATATTTTGTTTTTCTTTAAACCGTCAGTGGCTAACAGGTGACTGTGAGAGGCTGACATTTGTTGATTCATTCTTCAAATGTTTATTTTTTCTTCCTAAGTGTTTCCATCTGGAACAAATCTTTTGTTGATCAGGTTCTCTCTGTCTCACAAGTTCACTGTTTTGTTTAAATGGGCAAGGTGAGAAAGATCTAAGAAATAATGCTCTTGGTGACAGGAGAGAATTCCTTATCTCTTTATTTTTGGCTGTAAGAGCCTTGACTAGTCCAAAAATAAATCATTCCTCCAATTATATAGCCCAAGAGCCAGTTAACTGAGGTAAGAATCTAGCTCAGTAAATATAGTGAAAATCATCAGACATCTTGGGAATAGACAGTTGACAAACAGCATACTTCTCTGTGTATTGTATTCCAATCTGGAATTTTGAGGGACATGGAATAGTTAGGTGGCTCAGTGGATAAAGCGCTGGGTCTAGAGTCAGGAAGACCTGAGTTCAAATATGGCCTCATACACTTACTAACTGTGTGACCCTGGACAAGTCGCTTAACCTCTGCCACAATCTCCTCATCTGTAAAATGAGCTGGAGAAGGAAATGGCAAACCACTTCAGTATCCTTGCCAAGAAAACCCCGTATAGGGTCACAAAGAGTTGAACGTGACTGAAATGACTGAACAACAACAACTATGGAGTGTGTCAGTTATCTCTGACTTTACTGGGATTTAAAAAAAAAATTCCGGTCTGGGAGTCAGGAGACGTGAGCTGTCTGACTTATTATCCTAGGAAAGTGACTTAATCTTTCTGGACCTTGGTTTTCTCATCTATTTGGTGGTGATACCTTGTAACTAATGTCTTGGGACTTCTTTTTGACTTGATATTTCAGTTAAGAAGTCAGATTATTCTAGTTTTATCTTTTGGGGCAAGGTAGATGTTTAAGGGATTGCATAGATATCATTGTATTCTAAGAAGGTAAACAGAAAAATTACTGTATTGATGTCTTTTCCTGGCTAGGAAAATCCTCTCCAGAAGGAACAGTAGAAGACTCTAAATTTCAAGTTGATTTTTAATAGTAAGTGTGGATCTGTTCCCTGAGATGTTGTTGACTCCATGACTGGACAAGTCACTGTGATATGAAGGTCCCTGTTTTCTTTAGTCGTGTAGTATTCTGATGCTATTTATCACTAGTCTCGTACAAGAAGAATTTTAGACGTGGAAGGGATCTTCTAGTCTAATCCCCAACCTTTACAGTTAAAGAAATGGATGCACAAAGCCTGGGCATTAAGAATTAAATCCAGGCCTCTTGATTTTCAACTGAAGGTTTGATTAACTGGTTCTCTCCCTGAAAGGAGTGGTGGGCAGGAACCTGATTGAAGTAATCAGGTTGATTGTGTTTAATTCATTCATCCTACAAACTTTTATTAAGCATCAAATAGGTGATTGTGCTATGCTAGGCAAGAGAGGCAGTGTGGTAGCCCAAAGGGAGCATGCTGCTGGCCTTGGAGTCAGGAAGACTTGGATTCAAATCCTGTCTCAGACACATACTAGGTTTGTGACTGTGGGCTAATCACTTAGCCTCTTGGTATCCTAGGCTGACTTAGAAGTTGGTTATTTATTAAGGGAAGAATTTCCTCATATTAGAATAAAATCAACACAATGCCTAGAATACTCTATAGAATAAATATGACAGTATCCTAGTGCAATTACTGAGTCTGATTGGTGAAATGTATACAATTGTTATTGTGTCTATAAAGAATATGCAAACTGTAGGGTGAGTACCATGTGCTCTGAGATCAAAAGAGCGAGATCACTTTCAGGAGTGAGGCTTCATGAAGGAGGTAGAACATGAGTTGGGCCTTGAATGATGGGTAAGCTATTTGGAGACAGGGTTGAAGAAAGAGAGCAGATAAGTAAAGCCCAGATGAGGTGGGGAAGGAAGGTCAATGAATAATCCTGTTTGGATGGAATGTTGAGCATACAAAGGAGTCAAGAGAGAAGCTGCTTCTCCAGTTTCTGATAGTTGAAAATTACATTTCTAAGTAGGATTGCTCTATCATGCAGGCTTTTTACCTGATTCATCGACCAAATAGTCAGTATCTTGGATATAGTCTTACATTGAATATGACGGCATCCCACCCTCCTTGGCATTTGTGTTTTAAAATATCCTGTGGTATAGGGGTGAGATGAATGAGTGGGTGATTGAATGAACACACAAACTATGGGGAACAAACCAGCTGAGAAAATCTAAAGGACAAGTTCTCACCAAGGTTCCTGAGAAATGAATAATACACCAGTAGTGGGTAATATGAATTGAAGAGGTGGGAGATCAGGGGACAGAACATTATTGTCCAGGCAGGAAATCAGGAGGGTCTGAACCGTGCTGATGGCAGTGGAAGCAAAAAGGTAAGAGTGGTTATGAGGCCTGCTATGAAAGGTGAGTCGAGAGGACTTTGCTATAGAAGAGGGAGAGGGAGGAGTAAAACTCAGGTTTCAAGTCTGGGTGAGGGTGAGGAGGGAGAAGGAATAGTGGGATCACTGGCAGAGGTAAGAAAGTTGAGCATAGATGCATAGTTAAAGAGGGAAATGCTGAGTCCAATTGTAGATATGTTGAGTTCAGTCATTTATATCGGAATACATTAATGTAAATTATTATAACTACAGGACATTCAAGTGGAAATGTACAACAGGCAATTGGAGATAGGAAGTGAGAGCCCAGCAAATGTAAATTTGTGGGTTATCTCATCAAAATCATTCCTTATACACTGCAAGTGATTGGCATATCATATCAGAGGCATATCATGGGCTGGAGAATAGAGAATCTCTCCCTCTCTATCAGCCCACTGATGAGGAAGACTCTTGTGTTGTCTATATGGATTATGAAAGCTCATCCTTATTGCCCTAGTCTTGGGGATTTCTTTCTAGGATCATGGGGTTTTTCTGTGCTAACCATACCATTAGGGAGGGACTCACTTATTCTTGCCACATGACTTCAACATTATGGTATAATGGATGGGACACTGGAATTGCAGTCAAGGAACACCTGGCTTCAAATCCCATCTCAGACGCTTATTAAATATGTGACCTGGGGAAAATCACTTTAACCTCTCTGAGCCTCAGTTTCCTCATCTATAAAAATAATATGAGTACCTACCTTATATTTGTGGGAATCAAATGAGACATTATTTGTGAAACATTTTATAAGCTTTAAAGAGCTATTTTTATGATTAAATCAATTTTCAGGATGGCATTCATATGAAATAGATAATTCCTAAAGATGCCTTTATGAAGGAAACAAGCCAGATACTAACTCATACCCTTAATATGGAAAAATTAACACTTTTAATCTATAGAAAAATCAAAGTGCACAGAAATTGTCTTGTTCTTTTTTTTTAAAAAAAAAAAAGATATCTGCACCATTTTAGGTACAGCTACCTAACAAGAACACTTACCTGGCAAAGTCAGTCAGTTACCAGTTATTAAGCACCTACCTACTATGTGCCAGGCCCAGTGCTAAATGCAAGGAGTTAGAATTGGAAGTCTCCCAGAATTAACATGCCAAGGCGAACCTCCATTCCCTCACTTTTCCCCATCCTCCTCTTCCAAATTAATTAAAGCCCAGGTTCGAGTACTCATGCACACACACACACACACACACACACACACACACACGCACGCGTGCACTCGAGTCCTCTCTCTCTCTCTTTCTCATCTTACCTTTCCTGGGACTGGCTCCTTAGTGACAGATTCTGTAAGCACCAGGTTCACTCGGTAGCCCATTTGGTTGTCAGATATTTCATTGGACCCATTTGAAGAGTAAAAAAACAACATAGCAGGTTAAGGCCATTCCCTGAAGCATATTCATTCCAGGAAGCAGTATGAGAGAAGGAAAGTGAATTTGGACTGTTAACAGCAAAATATTTTGAAACCAAATCCCCACCTTCGTTTCCCAACAAGGAAGCAAGAAAAAAGAATTCTGAAGTAACTTCAGCTGTGCACAAGATTAATGGCATTATCATTATCCCCATGTCAAATAATATTTCTCAGGTTTATAAGGGGGCCTACTATGTCGAGTAGGTTCTGCACTGTTTAGTTGCTCAAAATCTGTGTGCCCTGCACACTTACAACATGCGTCCCGAGAGCTGGCGATTTTAAACCTTGAGCCAAAACACTAGTATGTTTAAGTGGGAAAGGAACATATGGTAAACATTTCTACTACTTTGTGATTTAGCATGTATTTTCTAACTCATGTATATCATGATATGTCAGTAGCAGGATTCTTTATCTCTGCCAAACTGAATCATCAGGAAGTCTTAAAAGAGGCTGGAAAGTGTGCTTTTCATAGATAACATTATTCAGTTTGAGGACAGTAGAGAAGTCTCAGAAATAGTATGGAAGGAAAAGATTGAAAGCATTCCATGTCAGGAGAGTGAACCTAGGAATTAAAGGAGATGAAAGTAATTGATAAGTTTGAAGCAAAGATTAGCTATGAAAGGGATTGGAGACCCATTAGAAGAGGAGCCTTTACTGAAGAGAAAGTTGACATTTGTTGAGCTGGTGACTAAGACAGATGGTCTGGATAGTTGTGTGAGATATCTCCAATTTAGAGGCTAAAGAGGAATAGATTAGAGGAATCCAGTAGGGCAATGACCAAGACCAGGATTAGTAATTTAGTTATGAAGTTGGGGCAGGAGGAGAGAGTGAATCCAGGGCCAGTTAGGTGGTGCAGTGGATAGAGCACCGGCCCTGAAGTCAGGAGGACCTGAGTTCAAATCCAGCCTCAGACCAAACACTTGACAGGTACTAATTGTGTGACCTTGGGCAAGTCACTTAACCCCGACTGCCTCACCAAAAAAAAAAAAAAAAAAAAAGAGTGAATCCAGGGAGAAGGGACACGACTTGGTAACAAGTTAGATATGTGGTTGAGAAAGAACAATTTGAAGTTTAAAAAATGGCCCCATAATGTCACACTTAGAAGAAAGAAATATGTTGGTTGGGTTTTTTTTTTTTAAATGAACTCTAGCACTATTGATTTTTTTTCTGTTTTGTTAGTGCTGTTGTTGTATACTTAATCTTTCTGGGTTCCTTGTTGACATAAAATCCAGCTGATGTACATTTTAAGTTTCAATTTCATTATTCATAGACCATGGCGCCTTGGCCTGAATTGGGAAACTCCCACTCTAATCCTAATAAGTACATCGAAGAGACCATCACCCAACAATCTACTATGTCTGGAAAAGATAAAGGAAACCCCAGCAGTAAGTACTATTCTCCCATTCATCTTGAAGTAACAGGACCTCCTCCCCAGGAGAAATGGGCCCTATCCCTGAGGGTTTTTTGTTTTTTCTTTTGCTTTCTTTAGCAGATAATGCCCATTCTCCTGTAAACAAGATAGAACTTCTGCCATCTTACTCCACTATTGCATTGATTGAAGAGCCAGTGGAGGAGCAAGACCCATGGGACATGCCTGACATTACGGACTCTGGGATCAAGTGGTCAGGTAATGCTGACTCCCTTGGAACATCTCATTCAGTGGGGGATATATGACCTGGTGCTGCTTCTGTGGTCTGCTTTATTTCTGGTAGCCATTTCTTTCTTGGGTATTATAACTCTGTGTGTGTGTGTGTGTGTGTGTTTTGTATGTCGGTGTAAGACACAGAGAGACAGACAGAGAAATAGAGAAAAAGAATATTGGCATGAGTATGTTTCTTTTTGTGGGAGGCTACAGTATCTTGTCATTTCCAGGTAATGTAGTATAGTGGAAAGAGCCCTGAATTTGTATTTAAAAAATCAGGTTTGAGTCACGTTTTTTTTTTTTTTTGAGGAGGGGAGCTAGGCAATGGGGTTAAGTGACTTGCCCAGGGTCACACATCTAGTAAGTGTCAAGTATCTGAGGTCAGATCTAACCTCAGGTCCTCTTGACTTCAGGGCCGGTGCTTTATCCATTGGACCACCTCGCTACCCCTTTGACCCTTGCTAAATGTGTGTTACCTTGGACAAGTCATTTCATCATTCTTAGTCTCAGTTGCTTCTTTAAAATCAGGATGAGAAATTTCACATTTAGAAATGTTAGTATATTCATGTTCCCTACCTCACAAAATTGTTGTGAGAAAGCATTGAGTCAGTCTTAAAGCACTGCATAAAGGTGATCTAGTATCATTTTTCTGATGCCCCCAAGCCTGCAGTTAGGGCCATCTTCCTGCAGGGGTTGAGGATGTTCTTTGCTAAGGCCTTGTGAACATTTCTTTCTCATTATTATACTGTATCTCTCAGTGTGGATGGCTGTTGGACTGCTTGAATTCAATTTTTGCCTCAGTCTATGGCTCTGACGCAATACGCCTCATGGTTTTCCACTTTCTGCTTTTTCATTCTATCTTTGGTTTCCCAGTCTTCCTTGGAGAATGCTAGTGGGAACCATTGGATTCTCCCTACCTCCTTTATCCAAATCGCATGTAATTCTGTTCCTATAGACATTAACATTCATACTGTTCTATAATATAATTAACTAGTACATGATGGAGGAGACTTGGCATTATAGTAGTCCATGTAAAAAAGTTAATTTTAATAGGAACCAATAGCATGCCATGTCTGTCTCATTGACTTATTTGAAAACTGAGGTAATCTCTTTATTTTTGGTTCAAATCTGATTTCACAGGTATAGCAAACTCTTGGTATAGAAATTTCCTCTGCTGATACAGATTGGCAATTCATCTATATCTTATAGTTTTAGAGAGAAATATTTTAGGAAAATATTTTGTCCATGATCATTTAGTTACTATGTGCGAGAACAGGATTTGAACTGAGATCTTAGTGACTCCAAGGTGAGCCTTCTCTGTGCTGCATCACCCTGCCTCTTAATGTTAGGCTGCATTAATAGAAGGAGAGTGTCTGGATCACGTTAAGTGATCGTTCCATTATGTTCTTTATTAGTTGGAGCATATCTGAAGTACTATGTTCAGAACTGGGTGCTGTGCAGGGCAGCTAGGTGGCGCAGTAGATAGAGCACCGGCCGTGGAGTCAGGAGGACCTGAGTTCAAATCTGGCCTCGGACACATAACACTCACTAGCTATGTGATCCTGGGCAAAGTCACTTAACCCCAATTGCCTCACCAAAAAAAAAAAATAAATAAAAAATAAAGAACTGGGTGCTGCAGTTAAGGAAAGGGATTTGGATTGGATAGAATTAGATAAAAGTGCATCTAGGAGAGGGCAAGCAGGCTAGTTGAACTGTAATGAAGGAGCTAGGAATGCTTAAATGGAAACAAAAAGACTCATCTTCAAATATATGAAGGGCTGTCATGTGGAAGAGGGGCTTATTGGTCTTGTAGGTAAAATTACATGGAGGTAGATATTGGCTCCACAAGAATTGTCCGCAAGTGGAGTGAGCTCCCATTAGTGCAAGTGTACAATTAGACCCTGAATGACTGGAGATGTGAAACAAGGGAGTCTTGGAAGGAATTGGAAGGGAATACTAGATGATATGAGGTTCCTTCCAACAATTAATATACTATGACTCATTCAACAAGCATTTTTGGAAGCCTACTATGTGTAAGACATAGGTATGGGCTTTGGGATATACAAACATGGTTAATAACCTGGGCCCTACATAAGATAGAATTGTCTGTGATCCCATTGGTCATTAGTGTTTCTGGTTCTGGTCATCCTTGTCTCCTTGGCTTAGCTTTGGGAGACAGAAGTGGGCCTGAGCCAGTGCTGGGGCATATTTTGTCATTTGCTGTCTGCCAGCTACACTGCTGGGCACTGTTGGTGCCTTAAAGATGAATTTCATTATCACCATCATCAACATCAAATACAATTGACTAAATGCGTCCATGCTTATGATGGTGTGCTCAGGATGCTACAAAGCAAGTGAGACTGATATGGATCATGTCCTGAGGGAGGGCGGCAGCTCCACAGAGTCAGTAGGAAGAGGCAAGATGATGGGCAAATGCATAGCATGGGAATAGCAGCTGAGACAGCCCTCTGGCAAATTGTGTAAAGCCAAAGAGTTCCCTCCTGCATTCCAGGGTGGGCTCATGAAAGTTCTGGGCATCATTTCTGAAGTTGGGAGGAAGGTATATACAGGCATACCTCAGATATATTGCAGGTTCAGTTCCAGACCATCACAATAAAGTGAATATCGCAATAAGATGAGTCACATGAATTTTTTGGTACGTATTAAAGTTGTAGTTACACTATACTGTTGTATATTATTAAGTGTGCAATGGTCTTATTTCTAAAAAAGCAATGTACTTAATTAAATTCAGTAGTATTATATCTAAAAATATATACTTAATTTAAAATATTTTATTGCTAAAAAATGCTAAACATCATCTGAGCCTTCAGGAAGTCATAATCTTTTTGCCGGTGGAGGGTCTTGCCTTGATTTTGATGGCTGCTAATTGATCAGATGGGCATTGCTGAAGGTTGAGGTGGCTATGGCAGTTTCTTAAAATAAGACAACAATGAAGTTTGCCCTGTCTATTGATTTTTCCTTTCACTTGGACACTCGGAGGCCATGTAGGGTTATTAAATGGCTTAATTTCAATATTGTTGTGTCTCAGCAAATAGGGAAGACCAAGGAGAGGGAGAGAGGAACTGGTAGGTAGAGCAGACAGAACACATACAACCTTTACCAATTAAGTTCACTGTTTTATGGGCTCAGTTTGTGGCGCCCCAAACCGATTACAGTGGTAACATCAAAGATCACTGATCACAGATAACCATAACATATATAATAATAATGAAAAGGTTTGAAATATTATGAGAATTACCAAAATGTGACACAGAGACACTATATGACCACGTGCTGTTGGAAAAATGGCGCAGATGGACTTGCACAATATGTGCAAAACACAATAAAACCAGATATGCTTGTAAGGATCTTCACACCTTCTCCCCTCCATGTATACCACAAGGTGTACACTAGGTGGCACAGTGGATAGAATGCTGCATCTGGAGTCATAAACACCTGAGTCGAATAGGCCTCAGACACTTCCTAGCTCTGTTACCCTAGGCAGGTCACCTAAGCTCTCCACCTCAGTTTCTTAGCTATAAAATTGATAATAATACTTACTTTACAAGGTTAATGTGAGGATAAATGAGGATTAAAGCACTATCTACATGTTAGCTGTTACCATTACTCCTTCCTTCTTTCCATCTGTAGCATTTTCTACCTGTTCTTGCATAGTATTTCATATTCGGGCATATTTTACATCCCTGTTAGACTACAACCTGTGAGGGCAAGGAACGTATCTCAATTATCTTTATCTACCCCCAGTTTCTGGCACAGTGCTTTCCACATAGCTGGCTCACAAAAAAAATGGTTATTGATAAATGAATGAATGATTATCTCACCTGGCTGCTAAAGGGGACTAACTGGGCCTTTGAAAGGCAAGTGTTGCTTATGGACGATGAAGGAAGGCAGAAAAGTGGAAGCTGGGAGAAGGAATACTGGGTGAAAGGGGCGATCCAGTAGAGCCTAGGGGCCGGTGAGAAGAAGGGCAGGTGCTCTGAGATGGGAACCATTGGTGGGCTCTGGGGAGGGGGTGAGGTGGGGCAGGACTAAAGCACCTTGGGCTAATCCTCCTAGGGCTGGCCAACATCATGAGCAATATTTGGGAGCCAAAAGAGTCTTTACAAAAGCAAAACTGTCATTTTTACTGAGAAGCCCAATACTCAAAAGTAATCCCTAAGGTCCTTCTGAAGAGCACTAAGTTCTTTGGCTGGTCATTATGTCAGGACCCCTCTGCCTGGGAGCTGGCTGCTACTATCTTCTGCACCACTTAGCAAACCAATGCTTCAGCTAAGAATGCAGCCTTGATTTGCTTATGGTTCCCCCTACCTCCCCTCCAGACCACAATGTTATTGGTGCCCAAAAGCTTCTCCACAAATGTGGCTTTTTTTAAAAGGGGGGGGGATTTGGGGACCATTTCAAGTAAATGGCATATTTATTAAAATGCACTTTCTAATGCATCACTAAAGCTGACAACCCCAGCCTACCTTCTCCTTGCTAAAAAGAGATGGGGGATTCTTGCACAAAATGCTAGTTCCTCTGTGTGTGTGCATACACACGTGAGCATGTTCTACACACAAGCATGTAATAAATAAGACAATATTTGGAAGAGTGCCTAGCACAGTGGCTGGCACACAGTAGGTATTTAATAAATGCTTGCTCACTTCGCCTTTGTTTTTGCAGAGAGAGACACCAAAGGGAAAATAATTGCTGTCTTCCGAGGGTTTGGGAAAGTGATTCTCCTCCTGGGATTTCTTTACCTATTTGTCTGCTCCTTGGACATCCTCAGCAGTGCTTTCCAGCTGGTTGGAGGTATGAAAAGCAACATCAGAAAGGGTCAAAGGTTTGTGGGTGGTTTTTTTTTTCTTTCTAATTGATTTTAGTTCAGCTTATAGCAGGCCTGCACAACATACACCCACCAAAGTGGCCTGCAGGCTGTGTGTTACCCATGCCTGCCCAAGGGTATCAAGCCTCTTAATCACTTTTTCTTACAGGAACAGTGAGCCCTATTAGCTGTGTCTGAGAACAGCCCTGGGGCCTGAGGATGACCTGAGCAGTAGTTTCATCTACATTTTTCCACTGGCTGAAATCCTTTAGCAGCCACATTCAAATGGGCCTTGAGCTGCGCAGGTCAAATGTTGTGCAGGCTGAATGCTGTGCAGGCCTGGCCTATAGTCAATCCACAAGCAATCTCAACCCAAGTAATCTCTTTTAGACTATACTCTGACCAAGGGGGTCTCACCTTTTTGTCCACTCCAGAGATATGTTGACACAGTGCTTCTTGGTTCATACTTTACCCCTTTCTCTCTTCCTCCTTCTCCAGTGCCCAACCCACCTTATATAGACTATAGTCTTTGGAAGTAAGTCAGTTTAGGAACTAGGCTTCAAAAATCTTTATGAGAAGACTTTGTGATAGATCCTTTGCCCAGTGAGTATGTGTATGCATTTGTGTGTATACATATACATACATTTATATGTGTATATATATAATGTGTGTTTCTGTATGTGTGTATACATATACACACATGTATATGTATATATAATATGATAGCATATTTATGTATAAGATTAAGATTTTGGGGGTGAGGATGGCACTCTGCATTTTGATCCCTCTTTTGATGTCTGAAACATAATCTCTAGTTTCAGAGACTAGAATCTGTCTAAGATGCATATGTGTGTTTTGTGCTGTGTTGGCAGCAGGACTGGGTATCTGAGAAAAGGGAAACAGGTCAGATTTACACTAAGAAAGTGAAGAGGAAAATTGGGGTCACTTTGTCCAAGCCTTCCTCTATCCCCATTCTCTCCACAAATTCTTCCAGTTTTATCTCAAAACAATCTGTGCTTGAAGGCAGAGACTCTGCAGGGGTGTGTGTGTGTGTGTGTGTGTGTGTGTGTGTGTGTGTGTGTGTATTTAGTCCCCAGTCTGGCCTAGTATGTTTTCTACATTGTTGACTTTAATTGATATCATGGACAGATGGTCATTTATTTTTTATTCCAACCATTTGCCCATTTGAGCAGCTAGATGGTGAAGTGGATAGAGTGCTAGGCCTGAAGTCTCATCTTCTTAAGTTCAAATTTGGCCCCAGGCACTTACTGGACAAGTCACTTAACCCTGTTTGCCTCAATTTCCTCATCTGTAAAATGAGCTGGAGAAGGAAATGGCAAACCACTCCAGTATTTTTGCCAAGAAAACCTCAAATGGGGTCAGGAAGAGTTGGACACATCTGAGAAGACTGGGTAACAACAATTTAGACAATTGACTTCGCTCTTTACTCATACATTTAGACAATTGACTTCATTCTACATTCTTTACTCATACATTTCCTTTGAGTAAAGCCTGACCTTCATGCTTTTACTCAGCAGACTAATAATGGGTAGCCATTATTACTAAGCTCTGGGTCAGGGATGGGGGCATACAAAGGAAATGGAAAGCCCATCTCTAACCTCGGGAAGTTGGCAGTTTTGTTGGGATGACACAACATGCACATGAAAAGGATTTCAGGTCTTATAAGCACCCTACAGATGAATATACCTTAAATAAGCCAAATGGGAAAGGGAATAAGCATTTATATATCATTTACTATGTGTCAGGCACTGTGCTCAGCACTCAACAGATATTATCTCATTTCATCCTCATAATAGCGCTGTGAGGTAGGTTCATTTTACAATGAAGAAAATTGAGGCTGAGAATGATTAAGTGACTTGTCCATGGTTACACAACTAGTAGATGTCTGAGGCTGGATTTGAACTCATGTCTTCTTGATTCAAGGTCCAGCGCTCTATAGACTACATTAACTGGTTGCCTTAGAATCCCTCAGTGCAATAGAGATGCTTGGTAAGGGATACAGTTGGGTGGAAAAGTTTTGAAGGAAGAGAGTGTCCCTCACCTCCAATGGAAGGAATACTTGAGGAGGGGGTGGAGGAAAGAGAGGCACCCTTCTAGGCCAGAGTAATTCTTTCCAGGCACAGAAACATGTAAGTATGTGCAAGGAATAGCAAGTGAATTTGTTCTGATACAGCAGAGGCATTAAACTGGAGTGAGAGAATGTGGTGAGGATCAGGGCAAAAGATGATAATAACTGGCATTTCTATGGCCCTTTAAAATTTGTGCAGAAATGTGAAGTGCCTTGCCTAGGCTCACACAGTGAGACAGAGACAGGAACTGACTCATGGCTTCCTAAAATGAAATTCAGTCCTCTGCCCTTTGCCACATTGCCTGCCTTGGCAGCCAGTGATTCCTACTCACTCCCCACCTCCCACACAGTGGTCCCTAGCCTTTGGCCTGTGGCCCAGCAGTCCCAACCAACTATCATATATATTATTTTTTTAAAAATTTCATTACATTTGCAGGAAAAATGGCCGGGGAGATTTTCCGTGATGGTTCAGTGTTGAGCAATCCTGTGGCAGGCTTGGTGATTGGTGTGTTAGTGACTGTCATGGTGCAGAGTTCCAGCACATCCTCGTCCATCGTTGTCAGCATGGTGTCCTCTTCATGTGAGTTATCACACACACACACACACACACACACACAGCCTTGTTGGTTAGGCAAGCCCGGATCCATTCAAAGAATTTCATTCCAAATTTTAGAATTATGTATTTGTTTACAATGTGGGCTGGCCTTTAATTTTTATCTTCTTGCTTTTCCATCTTTCCAATCTTGGGACAGAGCTGTTGTCACGGACACTATTGGAGCAGTGTGACACTCCTTAACATTGCCTCCTGTGGTCTCTAGTTTTCTTGCCATTTCATACTCTAGTTACAGGTCTGAGTACTTGGTCTCAGCTGTATTTAGCTGTTCTTTGCTACACAGGAGCTTTTCAGGCAAAGGCTGGATGAGTGACTGGTTGGGGACCTTGTAGAAAGGATTCCTTTTCTTGGTCATGGTTGGACTCCATAGCCTTCCCAACTTTTTTTTTTTTCCAAGCTGATTCTTTAACTTGTTTAAGCTTTTTTTTTTTTCCCTGTGAATTTCCACATTTTTTCTTCCTCATTTACCTTTTTCCTTTGACAGTGTTGACAGTAAAGGCAGCAATTCCCATTATCATGGGAGCCAATATTGGGACTTCAGTCACCAATACTATCGTGGCCCTCATGCAGGCTGGAGACAGGGATGAATTTCGAAGGTAGGAAGTTTTGTCTCACTTGTTTGCTAGTCATGTCTTCTCCATCACTGCAGTAACTATCTTTGATTAACAAAGTTGAAAACCTTCACTCAGCTGCACAGATACATCCCAGGCTTTTCCAATGGACTTTGTTACAGTGCAGATTGTGGGATGAGCATATATACCAAGCAGTTCAAATGACTTAGCTTAGTCATAAATTATCGGTTGATAATGATTTCATTTTTGGTATAATGCATTCCCTTTTACATTTTGTTCTTCTAGACTCATAAAAAGCAAAATATATTCTAGGAATAAGGCTGGGAAGAGGTGACAGGTCATTGGGGGTGGTAGTGGTGCCGCCGAATAAAAGACAAAGGAAATCTTTGTCTTGCTAGTGAAGGGAATATCATCAGTATTTCATTTTCTGAACTGGTTTTCAGGTTTTACTAATTCCTATAAGGGGATCAGAGCAAGTTAGACTGAAAATTGTAGAAGTGATGATCGTGTCATTTTTGCCTTTCTTGTGTGATATAATCAGGGTACTGTACTCAGAGACAGAGCCAGATTGGGAATCTCAGATAGGACTTTGTGTGGAGAAATGGCACACTTCCTTGACAATAAATGTCATACCTTGTCCCTTAATCAATAGAAGCAAGTCAGGAGAAGAGCTTAACTGAGTATATACATCCTTTGACCATTATGGGCCATTGGGCCCACTCATATTTAACTCCCACTGACACTTTTTAATGCAATTCTGCTTCAGTCTGTGAATCACAAACGCTACAATACATAGTGGTGATCCTGCAGATTAAATGTCCAATAAATACCTAAGTGAACATAACAGCTTCTTTGTCTATCCCAATAGACCTAAGTTGGTCACAGGGTAGACACTTTTAACTGAAATGAAGAGAATTTCTATGATATGCCCCTTTATGGTAGGGAGCTTCCCTACAGCTCTCATGTTTCATAGCAATGATAATGGAATGGAGTGAAATGAGTATTTATTAAGCACCACACCTACCATGTACCAGGTACTGTGCTATTATTCATTTTACATGTGTCTCATTTGATCCTCTCAACAACTCTGTGAAAGAAGAGCTATTATTGTCCCCATTTTTTACAGCACAGGAAAGCCAGGCAGACATGGGTTAAGTGACTTGGTCACGATCTCACAGCTAGTAAGTGTCTAAGGCTGGATTTGAATTTCAGTCTTCCTGACTCCAGGTCCAGCATGTTATTCACTGTGTCACTTAGCTACCTCTCTTTGTAACAGCTATGTAATATCTAATATTATGTGTCATGTAATATAATAATAGCTAGCATTTATATAGAAGCTTACAATTTGCAAAGCATTTTATAAATATTGTCTTGTTTGATCCTCACAACAACCCTGGGAGGCATGTGCTATTATTATCCCCTTTTATAAATAAGAGTCAGACAGAGATTAAGTGACTTGGCCAGGATCACACAGCTAGTAAGCTTCTGAGATTTTATTTGAACTCATGTCTTCCTGATTCCAGGTACAGTATTCTATCCATTTTGCCACTATGGCAAAGTAACTCAGGTGTTATTATGGTGAGGCGGGTATGTAGACAATGCAGTCTTTTCCCCTCATGTGCTCTATTAAGTTTTGGGGGGCAACTGGATCTGTGGTTTTACTGATGTGAGGAAACTTCCAATGTGGAAACCCACCATTTTGTTGATACTGATTGGCAACCCCAGCAGGGGATTAGGTCACTGAAAGTATTGAGTGACTTCTCATGGTCCTATAACTAGAAGGAAACCTGAAACTTACTGATGTGAGGAAATTCCCAATGTGGAAACCCCACCATTTTGTTGATACTGATTGGCAGCTCCAGCAGGGGCTTAGGTCACTGAAAGTATTGAGTGACTTCTCATGGTCCTATAACTAGAAGGAGACTTGAAACCAGGTGTTCCTAACTTTCAAGCTAGTCTTTTTCATGACATTTACACCATGCTTTCTCATTCTGTACACAGTAAGCACTTAATGAGAGTGACAAGACAATATCATAACATTAAATGCTTTGGGTTTTCTCCTTATTTTAGGGCTTTTGCAGGAGCTACTGTCCATGATTTTTTTAACTGGTTATCAGTGCTGGTGCTGCTGCCTCTGGAGGCGATCACAAACTACCTCTACCACCTCACCAATGTCATAGTGAAATCCTTTAATATCAAGAGTGGAGATGATGCCCCTGAACTCCTCAAAGTCATCACAGATCCCTTAACAAAACTCATCATCCAGGTGGGCATCAGAACTCACTCTGATTTTTAAATTTAAAATGAAATAGCACCAGTGATAAGCTTGGTTCCCTTGGAAGGGGAATTAAAAATCTCCTCCCCCCATCTGTAGTGCTAGTTGGATGTTTCTCCTATTTGCTGTGATTCCCTCTTTCATTGCCTGGGTGAGTGGAGCTACGGAGCAAGCACTGGGTTGCTTATACCTGCATGTGGGTAGAGATTCACTCTTCACCACCACACTGGCCAAAACAAGACTCAAGCATTTCTACCATTTCATGCCAGATGGCTCTTTTTTGGATGATGTTGATATCATTGTATTTATTACCCATTAGATCAGTGTGATGTATCTGTCTCTAGCAATAACATTTTAATTCTGCATATGCTTTGCTATTCATCTGGCCCAAAAGGAGCTCTTTCCCAAGGGATGCCTCATAACCAATCAGCATTTATTAATCTCCTACCATGGACCAGGTACTAGAGGATTCAATGACAAAGAAGAGAGACCCTCATTGGCTTCAAGGAGCTGATGGTCTACTGAGCCACCCTGAAATGGGGCAAATAGGGTTCATCTGGGCTGATCCTAGTCAAACTAACATAAGACAAGTGTAGTCCTCTGGAAATGAGACCCATCTGTGTCTCTCTTTTACACACATCCTGGTTTTCTCTTCTGTACCCTGGAGCCCCTAGGAGAGTAACTAATTAACTTTTCACTCACAACTCATAGCTGAAGAACAGGCTAACCCTTTTCCTCATGTCTGTTGCTTTCCCCAGCTGGATAAAAAAGTCATAAATGAAATTGCTACAGGAAATGAGGCAGCAAAAAACAAAAGCCTGATAAAGATTTGGTGTGAAACTTTTAAAAATGTGGTAAGTATCAGAAAATGGTATAAAAAAAGGACATAGATGGGGGTTTGAGAATTCTCTGTTCCTTCTGTGATGCTGAGGGACTGCAAGTGCTGTTGGTTTTCTCTAAATTTAGTGCCATAGACCAATACTCTAGTCACCCTGCCTTAGTTACACCTCAGACTGTGGGGCATAATATGACTATAATAAGACTACTCCAAGATAGGAATAAAGCAATTGACTGCCCAGGTCCCCATTCTGGAGTAACAGTGCTCAGTCTGAGTGCAGCTCAGCTGGCCTTCAAAAGTAATCCAGATGTTCTGTAGCTTCAGCCAATGCTCCATAGACCAAGCACAAAGACTAAAGATCTTCTCTGGGGATTAAGAGGAGGGTGAAGTAGACAAGAGGGGGAAAGTGGGGATTCAGTGACCAGTGGGGTTCATGTCTTCAGTGCTGTAAATTGTGTCTTCACATAATAATCATTCTTAGTAACAAATTTTTTTCTGTATTTTGTCATCTAGACTTTAAGCAATGTTACCGTTCCCTCACCAGAAAATTGTACCTCTTCCAGTCTCTGCTGGACTGATGGAAACATGACCTGGACCCTCCTGAACACAACATATGAAGAGAACATTGCCAAGTGTGAGTAGGAAATCTTCTGGGAAGTCTGCTGAGTGAAAGAGGAATTTCTAACCCTATTCTCAACATGGTTTTATCCATTCTAACAGTGTCCTCCTCATAATGGTGTGGTGGATAGAGCTCTGAACCCAATAGTGTATAATGGCTCCAGAGACTAACTACCTCTACCTACCTAAATGTCTATAGTTTACTACCAGGAAGTAATTTAGGAACTGAAGTTTAAACATCAATTCTAACAATGCCCTCCTCATAATGATGCAGTGCCTAGTACTCTGCACCCAGAAGCAGGCAGACCTGGTCCAAATCCAGCCTCAGAGACTTAATCTGAATAACAAGTCACTAACCTGCTGTCTGCCTCAGTTTCCTTATCTGTAAAATGGGGATAATAATAGCAACTACCTCCCAGGGTTGTTGTGAGGATCAAACACCATACAACATTTCAAGCACCATATAAATGTTAGCTGTCATTATTGTTGTTATTACATTTGTATAACACTTTACAAAGTACTTCATTATATTTTCTGTACAATTAAACTGAATAAGTAATACAAACTCAGGCAAATCCATTCTTGGGAAAGGGGACATGCAATCTCTAGTGCAAAGATCATAGAATGTTAGAGTGGGGAGGCTTCCTTGAGGTCATTTAGCCAACCCTCTCATTTTATAGAGCAGGAGACCAGACACCCAGACAGGTGGAGGAAGCTGCCCGCTGTCACAGAGAGCACAGCAGAGAGCAGAATCAAGATTCAAACTCAGGATGGCTAACTTCAATCCCAGTGCTCTTTCCATTTGTTATGCTGGGTGTACAGGGACTTAACTGTCAATGCATCTTCTCACACTCATGTTTCAAAGCTTTTTAAAAATCAGAAGTGCCAGGGGCAGCTAGGTGGCGCAGTGGATAGAGCAATGACCCTGAAGTCAGGAGGACCTGAGTTCAAATCCGCCCTCAGACCAAACACTTGATGTGTACTAGCTGTGTGACCTTGGGCAAGTCACTTAACCACAATTGCCTCACTTAAACAAATGAATGAATGAATGAATAAATAAATAAAAATCAGAAGTGCCATGTTGTGCAATGACTAATTTTGATAGACTTAGCTCTTCTCAGCAATGCAAAGATCTAAGATATTTCCAAAAGTCTCATAATGGAAAATGCTATCCACATCCAGAGAAAAAACTATGGGGTTGGAATGCAGATCGAAGCATACTATTTTGCTCTTTTTTTTCCTTCTGTTTTGTTTTGTTTCTTCTTTCTTTTGGTTCCTCCTATTGGTTCTAATTCTTCTTTACAACATGACTAATGTAAAAATATGTTTAATAGGAATGTATATGTAGGGCCTATATCAAATTGCATGCTGTCTTGGGAAGCAAAGTGGGAAGGGAGGGGAAAAAATTTAAAACTAAAAATCTTATGGAAGTGATTGTTGAAAACTAAAATTAAATTAATTAAAATAAATAAATAAAATATAAGCAACCTAAAAAAAGAAAGAAAGAAAGAAAAAGAACTATACAGGATCACCATGGAGCATATTTTTGCCATAAAATAACTTACTATTATGTTTCTTAAATTTTAATAAAGAAGTTTTATTCATTAAAAAAAAATCAAAAATGGCTTCTTATAAAAAGGTCTGAAGTAGGTCCTGGGGCTAAATGTTATTTGGATTTCACTTACATATTTTTTGAGATTTGTTTTTGAATGTATAAACCTTTGCTTAATTAGGCTCACTTTATTCAAGGCATGGTGCTGTATATAACACTGTGTACCTTAAGTGATGAAGAGGAAGAGAAAGATGCTAAGTGGTTCTTCTCCTTCCAGGCAAACATGCATTTGTGAATGCCAATCTCTCAGATCTGGGTATTGGCCTCATTCTTCTAGCCCTCTCTTTGCTGGTCCTGTGCACATGTTTGATCTTGATTGTCAAGGTCCTGAACTCTGTGCTCAAGGGACAAGTTGCTGCTGTGATTAAGAAGACCATCAACACAGGTAGGCATTTCACTCTCCCTGGGCCTTTCTGTGGGCAGAGTCCTTAAGAAAAAAGACACTTGCTGGTTTTCCTCTCATTGTGCTCACTGAGGTCCACACCTGACCCATCTGTCTGGAGACAAGAACTCCAGATGACCCTGATCTCCCCTTGTGTTCTTTCCTTCCAGATCAACAATCCTGGGAATCCATGTTGTCTCTTTTGTCTTGAATTTGCATTATTGAACCAGTCTTGGAGAGCCCTCAGAGGTCTGGGTGACTCTCTGGGATTATACATTATTGAGAATCTGCCAGCCTGCATTGCGAGAGGGAGTTCCCTCACCTTAGGGCATTTTTATAATGCCTACTATGTGCTAGGCACTGTGCTTAGTGCTTTTTACAAATATTATCTCATTTGAGCAAAGAAGGGTATAAATGTAATTTTTAGGATGTTGGCAGGGAGCTCCTGAGACACCCTCCTTTGCCCCACCCAGGAAACTCCTTGCTGACTGCCTTTAATTGCCTTAGGAATTATTTCTGCTTGAGGTTTTGGAATGAATTTTTAGTAAAACTACTGTTTTTGAATTGCCCTTAGAGTGATCTTTTGCATTGGATATGAAATACTGACCAGGACATTTGTAGAAATGGTGCCTTTTTCTTCTCCTGTTTCCCAGATTTCCCCTTCCCTTTTACCTGGCTGGCAGGCTACCTCGCCGTTCTAGTTGGAGCTGGAATTACATTTCTTGTACAGAGTAGCTCTGTGTTCACCTCTGCAATCACTCCTCTGGTTGGTAAGTCCTCTCTTCCTCCCCCTTCCCTTTTCACATGCCCATGTCTCCATTTTGACATGTGGTCCCACCATGCTCAGTCATTCCCACCCAGGATGGAATCCAATGTCTTTTTTTTCCCCTTAGGCATCGGTGTGATCAGCCTTGAGAGAGCTTACCCTTTAACCTTGGGCTCCAACATCGGTACCACCACCACTGCCATCCTGGCTGCATTAGCTAGCCCTGGAAATACTTTACAAAGTTCGCTCCAGGTCAGGATGCAGAGTTGTGATTCATTACCTCTTTCCATTAAGCTCTTTTTTTCTTAGCTTACTACTAAATCCTTCAAATAAACCTGCTGGTTTCTTTCTTATCAGATTCTTCATATCACAAGGGGACATTTATAACTCTTGAGATCTTACCTGTCTTAGAATGGTGACCTGTGGGTTAGAAAACTGTCCCTATCTATTATTCTCAGAAGCTGAACTTTTTTTTTAATAATGACCAGATATATAAATAAATTAGAGATAGAAAGCAGGTAGGCGTAAAATGGATAATTTCGATTATATTAAATGAAAAAGGTTTTCTACAAATAAAACAAATGTAGCCAAGATCAGAAGGAAAGGAAAAAATTGGGAACACATTTTTATAGACAGTTTCTCAAATAAAGGTCTCAAACTTTGTCAAATCACTAAGAATACGAGTCATTCCCCAACTGATAAATGGTCAAAGGATATGAAAATGCAGCTTTCCTTTGAATATGAGTCATTCCCCAACTGACAAATGGTCAAAGGATAAGAAAATGCAGCTTTCCTTTGAAAAAAATCAAAACAATGTATAGTCACATAAAAATGCTCTTATTGATTAGAGAAATGCAAATTAAAACAACCTTAAGATACTGTTTTATACCTATCAGATTGGCTAAAATGACTGAAGGAGAAAGTGACAAATGTTAGAAGGGATGTGGAAAAATGGGACACTAATTCGTTGTTGGTGGAATTGTGAGCTAATCCAACCATTTCAGATGTTTTAAATATCTCAAACTTGTGTCTGTAATAAACAAATTAGGATGGTGAATAGTTACATTCCTCATCCCCTACCTTATCCCCTGCCCCCCACATAATATGATTGAAAAAGGTATAGATTACATCCTCCTTTTTGCCCTTCTATCAGTCAGAAAAGGTTGTATGGTAGCAAGAACTTGTGACTTTGATGTCAGAAGACCTAAGTTTGAATCCCACCTCTGTTACTTGCTAGGTGACTGGTATAGATCCATGTTTTGTGTTTAGAGGAGGGAGAGGTGACTGTTGGTTTCATGGGGGAAAGAGAAGCCTCTTCCTTGAAGTATATTGAGGATCTGTTTGGGCAGAGAGCAGAAGGAAAAGTATGAGAAGGAGAAGGATGTGAACAAAGGTCCCAGGGATATGTCCAGTGAACAAGCATCTCTGAAGAACCAGTTTCACTGGAATGGATGATAATGGTCCCAGAGGCAGTCCTAACATGAATGATGATAATAGGACTGTTGTAGACACTGTCTCCTTTAAGCAGCAGGAGGTAATGCTGAAAAAGGCAGATGAGAATCAAGTTCTAGAGGGCCTTGAAAGCTGAACCAAGGATTTTGGTTTTTGTCCTTCAAACGTTGGGAAGGCAACAGGTATTGGATTTAAGGGTAGGTGTCATCAGAATTTTGATTTGGGAAATGTATGTGTGTGTGGGATGTATTAGAGCCAAGAGACCAGCTGGGAGGAGGCTTTTGGAATAGGCCTAGGGTCATAGATCTAGAGATGGAAGGGCTTTCAGAAATTATCCAGGGGCAGCCAGGTGGTACAGTGTGTAGAGCTCCTGCCTTGGAGTCAGGAGGACCCGAGTGCAAATCGGGCCTCAGACATTTGACACGTACTGGCTGTATGACCCTGGGCAAGTCACTTAACCCCATTGCCTAGCAAAAAAAACAAATACAAAAAAAAAAAAAAGAAAAGAAAAGAAACCGTCCAATCCCCACTTATTTTATAGATGAGGGAATTGAGATTAAGTGACTTGCCCAACATCACACAAATAGTACTAATCAGAGGAAAAGCAGTGTTATTTTCCACCATAGTACAAAGCCCAGGTCACAAAAATGAAGATCTGGTGATGTCATCAGGAATGGAAAGGAGGGGATGAATACAAGAGATGCTGCAGAAAGACTTAGAAAGTCATGCCTTGGAAGGCAAGAGAGAGGGAGGGGTCAAGGTTGAGATTGGCAGCCTAGACAAGGACAGGATGGGGGTGCCCTGAACATTCTCCAGTGTGAATGTTGCCTCACTAGGCACCTGTCTTCTCCTCTTCCTCCTCTCCCCTCTGTGGCAAGGGAGGCTGGTGTGTGGGCAGGCCAGGCAAAGCCTGGGTAGGAGAAAGGTGACAAAGGAATGTGGGTGGCAGGGTGAGGAGTAGAACTCGATTCAAAGCATGATAAGACAATGAAATTAATTTTGTAAAACAATGAATTCCAAAACTGATTTTGAAAACAATTACAATGAAAGTCTCAGTGCTTCTGGAATGCAATAATTTCTTTTTATTAATTTCATTGCTCTTTAACTCACTGGTACTTAATTCCATTTGGAACAATGTTTTTAATTAAGTAAATTGTTTTTGAAACCACTGCTTTGGAACTTGGCAAAAGTGGCTTAAATTATCAACTTAGTTTTGTTTGTACGCCAGGACTCAAGCTATTCATTGCATTTAGTTCCTTCCTGTATGCCCATTTGCAAAGAGGCCCATTTTCACAGGATTTAAGAGTTGGAAGGGATCCTTGAGATCATCTAGTCATCATTTTGTAGATAAGAAAAAGTGTTTTGCTGAAGGTCAAGGCCATGCGGGTAGTAAGAGGCAGAACCAAAATTCAGAAGAGCAGAATGTAAGCTTATTGGGGGCAGGTACCTTTCCTTTCTGTGTCCCCAGCACCTAGCACAGTGCTTTGCAGATAGGAAGCACTTAATAAATGCTTGTTGACTTAAATTGTAGCTAGGTCTTCAGACTCCCATATGCATTGTTCTTTTCATGACATCATAATGAGTACTCTTATTTGTAGAGTGCATTAAAGTTTCCAAAGCACTTTACATAATGATCTCACTTGACATTCATAATAACCCAGTGAATTAAGGGCTCTGTTGCTGTGTTTACAGATGAGGAAAGTGAGGGAAAGGCAAGCTTCTAACCCAAGTCTTCCTGACTTCAGGTCCACTGCTCTCTAGGTCACACTTAACATAACATCTAGCCATCTCCTGCTGCTCTATATTCTTGCAAAACTGAATAGACTGGACTAGATGCCTCTGGTGTTCCTGGCCCTTAAATATTTGTGATGATAGTTTCTGTGACACCATTGAGCTTTCCTTCCCTTCTCATCACCACCTGCCTCCTGATTTCCCTTCTCTCTCCCTGATTGACTCCTTGTATGTGTCAGATGAGTTTTCATCTTATCCTTTTAATTTCAGATTGCCCTATGCCATTTCTTCTTCAACATCTCTGGGATACTTCTGTGGTACCCAATCCCATTCACACGCCTGCCGATCCGTCTTGCCAGGGGCCTAGGAAATATCACAGCCAACTACCGTTGGTTCGCCATCTTCTACCTGATCTTCTGCTTTCTCCTGGTGCCCCTGGCTGTGTTTGGCCTCTCGCTGGCGGGGTGGCCCGTGTTGGTGGGTGTAGGGGCACCCATCCTATTGGTATTGCTTGTGGTGCTGGTGATGCGGGTGCTCCAAGCGCGCTGTCCTCAGGTTCTCCCTAAGAAACTGCAAACCTGGGACTTCTTGCCCCTGTGGATGCACTCTCTTCAGCCCTGGGATGGGCTGGTGTCTCTGCTCACGGGCAGTTGCTGCCAGCTGCCCTGCTGCTGGTGCTGTCGCATCTGCTGCCGGTCGTGCTGCCTGCTGTGCAACTGCCCCCGGTTCTGCCGCTGCAGTAAGTGCTGCGATCTGCTTGAAGATGAGGAGAACGTCAAGGAAATCCCCATCAAGGTTTCCGAGGTGTATGAGAATACGGCAGTCGTGACTAAGGAGACCCAGCAGGGGGACCAAGATGTAAAAACCTTCTCTAGCAGCACGGCTTTATAGCAGGATGGTGATTGCAGAGGAGAAAAGATGGATTGTTTCTTGTTCTTGCCCTTCCTCCCTTGAAGCGTGGGAAGGGTAGGGGCAGATGGTTAGCTATCTACCATTGGAAAAATGGAGTCCCAGACATTTGCTATTCCCACCCTTCACCCCAGAACCCAAAGCACTGGCAGGTAGGGCTGACTCAGTATTGGCAGAAACAGTGATCAAAGCACCATCCTTACTAGGGCCACAATTCTCTCTCATTGATTTCTGGCTCCCTGAAAGGCCTGGGACAAGAACCATAGGGATTTTGCAACATAAATTCTGACTAGGCCAATTACTTACACTCTCTCCAGAAACATTAGAGCCACTGACCAACAGGACATGTTTTAAAGCCCTAAACAATTTTCAGAAGGAAAAAGCCTGCGGAAAGAATTCCGTTGCTCAAATATACATAGTTACACTTTTATTTTTAAATAAGTGTGAGTTTGGTTGCTAAGGCACATGGCTCTTCCCGGGAAAGACCTGACTGTAAATAGGAAATCAGTACTTCCCTGGTCCCACAAAGCTTGGAGGCAGGGCAGGCCTGGGTGAGAAGATGCCAGCCAGTGACATACACCACCCAGCCCAGTCTTAGTAAGCCGCGTGTTCCTCCGTTCCCTGCCATATGGAGACTTGCAGGAAGGGCAAGGTTAAGGACTATGTTTTATCTACAGCAAACTATGTGGATACCCTTCCCATGCCCAGGAGAAACTGCTGGTGGTCAGCAGCATGCTGGTTAGTTAGGTAGGCTTGGGCTGCCTCCATAGGCTGATGACCATGATGCCCAGTACCAAAGATAAATTCTAGTGAGGTAGAATTACTGTGTATGCTCATGCCCCCTCTTTCCTGATCTTCCCTCCTTACTGTCTCCACAGTTTCTCTTGGGCAGTCTATAAGCTGGCCAAAGCCAGGCAATTTCTAGAACATTGAAAAGGTATTTCTAAAGGATAGTAATTTAATTAAGAAGCAAAAAAGGTCACTGATGTGCTTTTGGATTTCTTCCTATTGGAGAGATACGAAGGTGGGAATGTTCCCAGGGCAGTTAGCACTTTAGTTGTTAATTGGTCAGCAGCTTCTTTCTAAGCAGCAGCTTCGACTTCTGCCATGAGTCATTTTCAATCTGGGATACTCCAGAAAGCCAGCTTCATAAAGGTCAGTGCTAAGAACTGGTCCCACTCTGATAGTCTAAGTGCCTCAGATGTCATGAGGAGGTTGGGCAGGTTATGGTTAGAAAAGATCAGTTCCTCTGTCCATCTTAGGCCATTGCCAGTCTCTCAAACTCTGGCTGTGGGAATTGGCCTTGATATTTTGTGGGCTAAGCTTTTTCTTCTGCTAACCCCAGTTAGTAGTTTGTGAGTCATGTCATGAAGTTTGTTTTGCCCTCAGATGGAGGGGGAACAGAATAAACTGAGCTGACTGCAGAATCAGGGGACCATCTTCAGAGGTCCTTCCCACCTTGGACCTTCCATGAGGCGCCAGTGGACCAGCCACCTAACCTTTTAAGGGGGTGGGGTTGAAGGATTCTGAGGTGAATGATCTTGCTGTGAGCTCTTCTTTCTGGATCCTTGCGTCTCTCTGTCCCTTTCACAGAAAGGAAAACCTCCTAGACCCATTGAGAGAAGGTAGGGTGGCAGGTGGCCATGCCCTAGGTAGAATGTGGATTTCAAGAGCATGATCCTCCTCAGACAGACCATCTATATTTTCTATATCCTCAAAGGATGATAGTCTGGCTAGACAAAAAGCACCTTGTTTTAAGATAACCTGTTAAAGACTAATCTGGAACTTCTTTCCAGATTTTCTTTCATTTGCCAGGAATGAGTTTTGTCCATTTCCATCTCCTGTCCTCTTTGGCCCTTAAACTGCTGCTTCTTAAAAGAGGCTAATTGGTGAGCATGTGACTGGAAAGGCTTGAGCTGAGCGTAAGCCAGAAGGTTGAATGGACCAGTCAGCCTTGGTCCCAAAGCCCCTTTTGATGTATGTTATGTGTATGTGCACGTGGGTGGGGTCAGGGAGCCTGTACCTAGCAGCTCAGATGCCTTCTCCTTGCCTTTCATGGGCCCTTTTTCTAAGACAGAAGAATCTTCACTTGCCTTTCTACCAGCCACATACATCACTTTCCCTCTAACACACCCTCTCTAATACTCCCACCTCATCCCACTTAACTAGGCTCTACCAACAATTTCCCAGCTCCAAACAGTATGTAGCAAAGGGGAATATAAGATGAGAAAGAAGAACAACTAGCCCATTTCCCAACTCCCAGATCATTTGGAGGCTTACCTTGACTTTCTACTATGTGTATAACCTTTCTCAGACAGATACCAATATAGTCTGTATGTATAGTCACTGAATTGTACAGTTTATCATGTTATTATTTTTTTTTTTTTTTGCTTAGGCAGTTGGGGTTAAGTGACTTGCCCAGGGTCACACAGCTAGTAAGTGTCAAGTGTTTGGTCTGAGGCCGGATTTGAAGTCCTTCTGACTTCAGGGCTGGTGCTCTATCCACTGCGCCACCTAGCTGCCCCTTTTATCATGTTATATAGAAAATAACCTGTATGATTCTGGTTTTATATTGCTCACCTTTGGAAACAAGAAAGTGTTTATCTATGAAATATATACATATATATATATATACACACACATATAAAAAGCCAACATAAGCAAAAACATTTGTATATTTTGCAATATCTTTTTAACTTGTCCACCCCACACTGTAAATACATATGGTAAGCACCTCAGTAGTCCCATTTGTACTTTGTATGCTTTTTTCCATTTGGATTATTCATGTGATCTGTGTACATAATATGATTTTAATATTTTTGGAAAGAAAGAAATAATAAAAAATATTCAAACCCAGAGGGGATTCATTTTTGAAGGTTCCGGAATGGGTTACTTTAATTTACTCTAACATTTTCTTCTTATCCTTAAAAACTCTTCAAGATGCTTCCTGGTCATATGAGCCCCTCTGCCCTTCACCCCTCTCCTCAATTAGCAAAAATAAGTGTCAGATCAAGTATCCTGTTTGGAATCTGATTGAGAATCTTAGGGCTAGAGTTAGGGTCCACCCTGTGAGATCCTTTATTTTTTCTTATTCCAGTTCCTGGATCTAGAAGCCTGAAATTAATCTACATAATTATTGTTAGAAGGTATCATTTCTTGTACTTTTCTTTCTAATTGAATATTTCCAGGTTAAGGAGTTAGGTCAGAGAGCTGCCATCAGCTCAAGCCAGAAAGCATGGAGATGCCATTTAATTAGTCAGTACCCTGAGAAGCATCATGTGACTGATTTCAAAATGGTGGTGGGATCTGACAGATGATGGGCCAGAGGCTGCCAAAGGTTGAGATGCAAATGAAAACCTAGCCCTTTGGAAACTCTCCTAATTATCCTGTTCTTCTGTAGTCCACACTAATACCGAGGAGTACATTATTAAGTATCAACTTTGCCATCAGAAGATAAGTTTGTGAATAAGTCACACTTGCCAGTCTAGCCTGGGTGGCTGGGATGGGGAGCATACATTATGCTCTCAGGACATAAATTAGGCCCTCTCCTTTGGCTGGGGTTAATCAAAGAGGCTTAAAGGTTGTCTGGTGCCAGTCTGTTTGTGCTGAGATTAGAAGATTCTTCCTCCTCCCTTGGCCGGGAGAATCTCTCTTTGGGTGGCACCATTCTTCCATGGCTGCACAACTGTGGGGTAGTATAAAGAGTGCTGAACTTGGAGAAAGTAAATAGCACACCTAGTGCTTACCCCCCAGGGTTATTTTAAGAAAGGAATGAGAAAGGGCTTTCCAAGCCTTTAAAATGTTATGGGAATATCAACTCTGGCAAATACTATGTATCTAAAGCTCTCTCCTCCCAGAGATTTAGGGAGATGGGGCACATAGAGTAAACAATTGGAGTTAGCATTACTCAGCCATATGAGGGAAGCAGAGAGACTTTAGCTTCAAGAGGAGATGGGTTAAGGAAGAATAGGAACTTGGAGAGTGGAGACCAAAAGAGCCCAGCGAAGTGGCTACAGGTTGTGAAACCCAGGAGATAGTCCTGGAAATCTAAGAATGCTGGGTTGGCAAGCATGGCTACTCCTACCAGTGTGCCATTTTCTCAGCTTACTTGGGATATGAGACCTTAGATTCCAGACTATCTGAACATACTGTGAAAGTAGCCATCTTATATCAGGAGCCACCTTGTACTTTTAAGTGTATTTTCCTTTAAATATTTTGTTTCCTCAGTGGTGGTTTGGGACTCCAGAACCAAGTTTTTAGGCAACCAGTAGTTATGATACCAGCAGAGACAAGATGATACTTTTCTTTCTTTCTTTTTTTAATTAATTAATTTATTTTTAGTTTTCAACATTTACTTCCATAAGATTTTGAGTTTTAAATTTTCTCCCCCTCCCTCACCTTTCCCCTCACCAAGAGGGCATGCAATCTGATATAGGGTCTACATATACATTCATATTAAACATTTTCACATTACTCATGTAAAGAAGAATGAGAACCAGTGGGAGGAACTATGAGAAAGAAGACAACAACAACAACAATAAAAAAGAGCAAATAGTATGCTTTGATCTGCATTCAAACTCCATAGTTCTTTCTCTGGATGTGGACGGCGTTTTGTAATGTGAGTCTTCTGGAGTTGTCTTAGATCTTTGCATTGCTGAGAAGAGATAAGTCTATTAAATTTAGTCATTGCACAATGTGGCTGTTACCGTGCACAATATTTTCCTGGTTCTGCTCTTTTCACTCAGCATCAGATCACATAAGTCTTTGCAGGTTTTTCTAAAGTCTGCCTGCTCATCATTTCTTACAGCACAGGAGTGTTCCATTACATTTATATACCACAACTTGTTTAGCCATTCCCCAATTGATGGGCGTCCTCTCAATTCCAATTCTTTGCCACCACACAAAGAGGTGATATAAATATTTTTGTACATGTGGTTCCTTTTCTCATTTTTATGATTTCTTTGGGATACAGCCCTAGAAGTACTATTGCTGGGTCAAAGGGTATGCACATTTTTATAGCCCTTTGGGCATAGTTCCAAATTGCTCTCCAAAATGGTTGGATCAGTTCACAACTCCACCATCTGCATTAGTGTTCCAATTTTCCCACATCTTCTCCAACTTTTATCATTTTCCTGTTTTGTCATGTTAGCCAATCTGATAGGTATAATGTGGTACCTCAGAGTTGTTTTGATTAGCATTTCTCTAATCAACAGTGATTAAGAGCATTTTATCATATGACTATAGATAGCTTTAATTTCTTCCTCTGAAAACTGCCTGTTCATATTCTTTGACCATTTATCAATTGGGGAATGGCTTGTAATCTTATAAATTTTACTCAATTCTGATACTTTTCAAAAGTAACTAGTCAAATACTTGTCCATGACAAATTTATAATTTCAAGGAATATATCAAAATAGTCAGAGAGCTCTTAAAGGACATACAGAACAGTGGACAAACGGAAGCTTTCAAGGAAGGGAAGGGAATGTCTAGAGCTTAAAACATGGAGAATTTAGGGAGGTCTTTGAAAGACTGCCTTGAAAACACTAGAAAATCTGGATATTTTGAAATACCTGGGAAGAAAGGAGGACCAATGGACTTTTGGCACCAACCTAACAGGCCCAGAGTCACATGGAATAAAAGCCAAATAGAGTGACAGGGCCAAAGAGATGATCCCTATAATCCTAGTTGGGGAGAGGGGGAAGAGACAGGTGAGATACAAAGGTGACTGTCAGTAATGATTTCTTGATTATTTACATGGAGTTCAAATTCCTCAAAAGTCAAAATTCACAATCAGCTGATTGTCAAAGGTATCATTAGCCAAGCCCATTTGTTTATATTATTGACAGCCTCTATGGAGAGTTTATCAGTAGTGCTTTGCTCAGACCACAGTTCTCTAAGGCCCCCAATCTCTCCCCCTTGATCCAAGAAGTATGGGGATGTAGCATATTCCTAAATAACTAAAGTACAAAGTAGAGGACAAAGAAAAAGTATGTGCTAAAGAATTCCTTTGGGGATTCTTGATCTTACCCCAAACATTCACCAGAAATCTTTGAAATTACAGCCTATCTTGGGGTAGCTAGGTGGTATAGTGGATGTAGCACCAGCCCTAGAGTCAGGAAGATCTGAATTCACATCTGATCTCAGATAGTTACTAGACATGTGAACCTGGGTAAGTCACTGAAGTCCAATTGCCTCAAAAAAAATTCAAATAACAGCCTATCTTTTTAATATCAACAATCTTTCAGACGTGTTGGATGGCTTCAGATAATGGAATACTATAAAGTCTTCAAGAAAATAAGTTTGCAGGTCATCTCAAGGGTAGTAGAAAGGTACATGATGAATGTGAATAGGCTGAAACATATTACCAACGAAGAAGTGCTTCATTGGGATACACACAATATCAAGACATAGAGGAAATCTCACAACAAAATGAGTGTATGGGGTGATGAATGGGGGGAGTTGGACAAAATAAAAAGGCATGGATAGAATCCAATCTGCCCCACTTGAAGAAGTACCTACAGCAATGTGATAACAGAGCCATTGAAATACAAATATTAGCCATCAAAAGCACCACAAGAGATCCTCTAGTACCACCCTTTGGCTTTGCAAATGAAGAAACTGAAGAATAGAGACAAAAAGTTACTTGTCCAGGGTCCCCCACTGCATCCCTGGCCATCACCAGTAGTCCAGACCTATATCTTGCCACTGGACTCCAATGATGCTAGAGAAGAGAGTGAGGCTGATGACTTTGCCTCATTTAAATTCAATTCACTTGCAAGTCAAGACATCACCCTGCAGGTGTCAGTGACCCTCTTCTAGAATGAAGGACAAACAACAGCAATGTTCAGTGGGTTGAAATTATATGTCAGGGGACTGAAAGGCTCCAAATGCTTATCACTCTCCTCTTTTCACTTGTCTCCTTCCCCTCCTATTTCCCTGCTGGGTAAGATAAATTTCTATGCTCAGCTGAGTGTGTGTGTGTGTACATATGTGTATGTGTATACATATATATGTATGTGTGGTATATGTATACATACATACATACATACACATACATACATACATACATACATACATACATATATATTCTTCCCTCTTTGAACCAATTCTGGTAAGAGTGAGGTTCAAGAATTTCCCGCCACCCTCTCCCTATTTTCCCCTCCACTATAAAAACTCTTCTTTGTGTACTTCTTTCATGTGACATAATTTTCCCTGTTTTACCTCTCTCTTTCCCCTTCTCCCAGTGTATCCCTTTTTCTCACTCCTTCACTTTTTTTGAGATGATCCCAACACAATCAATACAATCCCAAAGCACACCCATTCCCTCTGTCTATGTACACTCCTTCTAACTACCCTCATAATGATAAAGTTCTTAAGAGTTACATGTATCCTCTTCCCATGTAGCAATGTTTTCCCATGTAGGACTTCATCAAGTCCTT